TACAACCACGTATTCGACTTTGCTATGATTTATCTGCCGCTGCGTGCGCTTGCCGTCTCCCTCCCTCTCCATCTCGCTATTTCGCTCGCGCACTGACGTTGCATTGCGGCAGCTGTCTTTGTCGCACAGCTCAAATATGTCGATTGTTTTATAATAGCCGCGCATAAAAGAATAAAAGAAAAAGAAAGCGCACCAAGAAAACAAAAAAAAAATAAACAAAACGTAGTAAATCGTAAGACCCAAGCAGGCGATACTTGCTCTATAGCAAATCTGGCATAGACATACACTTACACTTGCACACATAAGTATACACACAAGTATGTATAAACATGTATTTAATAACGCCCAGTCTAAAGTTTCAGTTGGCAGTCGCCAAAGCAACAACGAAACAACAACAACAACACTCGAGGGCCGTGACTTTATTTCTTAACCAAAAATAAATACAAAAATACAAAAATTAATAACAATATACTATTTTTCGCTCAAAGCATTTTTGGCGCTTTTGCTATTGTTATTATTATTTATTTATTTATTATTTATTTTGTTTTTTTATTTTTGTAGTTGTTGCTTGTAGTAAGCATTGTAGTATATGGCGTAAATATTGAACGTGTCGTTGATAAGATAAAAACAAAAACAAAAACAATAAAAAAACAACGCGTCGCACTTCTCGTTGCGGCTATCTAGGCCCACAGCTAGCCGCTAGACTTACTTGTCTATAAGTCGACAACAATTCAATACCAATTCAAATCCAATTGATACAGAAATGAATACAAACGCTGCATAAATTCGATTGTCTCGAATTTGAACATGTTTCATCCACGAATCCAATTGACATCTCAACTTGCTCCATATTTATGACATATGCATACAAATTTATTTATGATCACATTAGAGAGCAATTGCAATTGCAATTACAGCCTAGTAATGGGCGCGTTTCGGGCGCGTTTAAAAACGCTCTGAGTCACACCTCGAATACGAGTCATCCAGTTCTATATGCTATATGCTATATATGCTATATCCGATATGCTGCCTCGTGAAACGTGAGTTCTTGGCTACGCTTCGACTGCGTCACGGCTTTAGCTGATCCCTTCCTGCGCACGCCTCTGCCTCAGCCTTAACACGCGCCTCTTCCAGCATCCCATATCAGCAGCAGCATATATCCAAAAATAATATATATATCGTACATTCTAGTAGTGTTGTATATATGCTTTCTCTGAATCCCACTCGGCCCCTCCAAGTCGCAAGCTTTTCGCCACCCGCGCGTAACCTAATTATAAAAACTTGAAGTGACATTTTTTTCTCATTTTTATTGTTTTCTATTTTTTATTATTGTTTGTTTTGTTTTGCTTATTAAAGCGCGCCCGCCCGCTATAGCCGAGAAGTGAGTGAGTGCGGTGTTTTTTTAAGTGGATCGTCAAGTCGTGTGAGGAAAGTTGGCGACAGGTAGTTTGGCTCTGCGTGTAAGTTACGATTGAGCCCGTCAAATGCGAGGCACGACACGTCCCAGAGTCAAAGGCGAAGGGGCACCACAAAGCCTGTAACCCCCACAACCCTCAGCCCCAGCCGATCGATGGGTAGTTGAACCAGCCCTGGAGCAGCACTGAGCACCTGTGCTACATCACAGCACTGCACGGCTGATCTTGCGTAATTGTTAGCAAACAGCGAGCGAGCCAGAGCGAGTGAGAAAGAGAGCTACGATAGAGCTAAGCTATAAATAGCCAGAGCTACGATTACATTGCCTGAGCTTCGAGCTATGAAATACATAACTTACACGCGGATTGCAACTCCAGCTAACTAAGCCCCGCTTAACGAGAACTTTATTTTTTAACTTGATTCAAAAAATTCTATGCAAAGATGATGCAGTTGAAATTTCCGAGCTACGCCCGGAGCAACTGATCCGCCTGTTATTGTTGACATCTTCAACTGCCTCGCCCACAGTTGGTGCAAATTTCTCAATTTTGTTCAATATTTCTTTTTTTTTTATAAAAACTAATCAAATAAATAAATCAAATAATTGTTTCTAAAAAAAAAAAAAAATGTAATTATATATATAATAATATTTTTTTATTATTAATAATTTATTTTTTATTTTTTTGCCCTTACATTATATTTAATATTTTTGTGTTATTTATTTTTATGCTTTGGCATCTCTATATAAAATTTTTTTCAATATTATATTTATGTGCTTTTCTTTGGATAATTGCTTAACTATTTAATTTTATGTGTTTTTTAATGCATTTTCGACTTGTTTTCTCAAGTTACCCGCCCTTAAACATATAATATATACACACAGAATAAATAATGTATATGCATATGTATGTTCGCCTCCTCTGCACTTTAAATAATTAGCGCATTGGCATTCATCACTTGGCATTATGGGATATGGGATGTTAATGTTGTCACAATTGCAGTTGCTGTTGTTGTTGCTGTTGCTTAGCAAACCCTCGACTTAGTTGCTGATGCGTTAAGGCCGAACACAAAACGCCGCACCCTTTTAGAGCTTTAAGCTGATCGGCGCTTCATTAACTGACTAATTGACAAGCTGACAAGAGTTGACAAATTGACCAATTTGCCAATTGACACAATGAGCGGTCTCTGACGCTGACTGTGGCTCTGGCTCGTCTAGCTCTGGCTCGTCTAGCTGGCTAGTCACAGTTACTATGTTATAGACTGTTTCTGATAGAAAGTGTTGGATTACTCCGCTGTTTATTTGCTGCATTAATCAAAGCTGCAGAAATATGTGCCAAGTCATAAAAATATTTACGCCTTCAGCTACCGTTTTGTTCCGTATCTAATAGATCGTAAATTTCAATAAATCCAAGTCCAACTGTTCGATTTCCCATGTGACTGGATGATGGAACGAAAGTTAGAATTTCCGGATTGTTTTTGTTTAATACATAATCCAAAGAGAGAGTGGTTCCTCTGAGAATTTTTCATAACTGAAATCTGTTAGTTTTATAGGCTTCTTTATGCGAAGTACTGAGAGCTCATTAAATTCTAAGCTCTTAACCACAAGTACATACACTCGTGCAAAAGATTAGAATTTCTACAGATTACCAGAGGTACTCCAAGAACCCGCAAATATCACCCAATATTTGCTGTGTGGGAAAATTGTGGTAGATAATACCGTTACCGAGATTCCCTGAGGAATATTTACTTTAAAGATATATATCTGGCTACGTAAATCAAAGTTGAACTAGAGGAAAACCTTCTCATTTGAAAAGTTTGGATTTATATTGCCTTTTTGCATGATCGATCTATCATCGAGTATCGGAATTTCGATACCGATTTGCAATTTAGTCATTTAGTGTCCTCGTGTTTATATCTTGAATTTTATGCTTGCTCATGAATTTGCCACCTCAGTTGATTGTTGATCCGCATGAGATTAAAGGGCCGTAAAAGCAGGCGGCGCTTATCAGAAAGAGTAAAAATAAATGAAACTGAAATACTTTGGTTTATTGTCTATCATTTTACAGCACTTCTATGTGTGTGTGTGTGTGTGCGTGTAGGTGTGTTTGTGTTTTATCTCTCTACTTTTCCGTTTAATTAATAAACGAATTAGACTCGCGCCTCCAAACTTAAATGCCGAAAAACCCTGAAGCGCCCATCACATACATGCAATAAAAAGAGGCGTGGCTATATGAAACACTTGGAATTGGGGCTGAGAAAATGAGGGGAACTCATATGTATGTTCCGGGTAATTCAAAAAATTCTGAAAATTCTTTAAATTTGTTTGATAAATTGACACGTTTTCGGTGCGTTTTTTATCGCTAGCGACTGGCTGGCTAGCGATTGCCGTTGGCTGCTGCTGCTGTTGTTGTTGTTGCTGTTGCTGCAATTGATTTATGGCTCAGGTAAATGTCCTGAGATCAGGACACGCCACAGCCGAAGCTGGCGACCCTTTGCAGCAAAGTTCTTTCTACTTCTGATTATTTTTCAAAAGGGGTTGTGCTCACACTCACACTCACACTCACACGCACCACACTCACTTATGGAGAGTGTGTTTGTGTGCGAGAAAGACAGAGAAAGGGCGAGCGGGAGAGGAGAGGCGAGGTTTTTATCCTGGCATTTCGCATGTGTTGGTGCAATAACAAGTTATGAATCGCAATTATTGCCACGTTTGCTGGTTTCGTTTCGTTTTATTTTTGTATTTCTCATTTCTTGTTTGAAACATATAATTGTGCTTTTTATATGTGTTATGTTTGAAAACTGTTTTTAAATGAAATGTGTGTGTGAAACGGATATATTTGCATGTACAAATATTGCCAAAAGGACTCCACACATGCTCACACACACACACAGGTATGACCTGGTGTCCGCGTGCTTTTTAGCTGCCTTTGATATGCGAAATGGCATTGGACTCACAGTTGTGGGCTTTGAGCCTCTGCTGCTTCTGATTCTGATTCTAGGTTTGGGTTTAGGTCCTATGGCGTGTTTCGTTATGACAAAGCCAACAGAATCTTTAATACAAACTGTTATTATTCATACTTTTTGTATTATTATTCAAAATTTAAATTTGTCTACTTTCCAATCGAAACCCACTGTTGTAGTATTTTCAAAACCTTTTTATACTTGAGGTTTCTCAATTTTAAACGTTTACCGTACCTCTGGAACCACTTTAAGTTGCCTTTTCATAAATATATTTATAGTTACTTAGACTTATAAACAAATTTGTTTTTAATTTTAGACCAGACCCAGGCATTTCTGGGTATTAAAAATTTCCGAAAATTATGCATTATATTGTATCATAAATAGGCGCATTAGGCGTTTTATAAGGCTTTCGCTGGAATTAATTCGTGAGCCACAAAATCGAATTTCGATTTTATTTTCGTTTCCACAGTTATCAGTGCGCCTATATACTATATAGAAAATCCTATAAATATATATTTATATATATGACTTAATTATATTTAAGTGCGATCGTCATCGTTTCTATTGTGCAAGTGTAGGAGGCGTGGCATGATTGCCAAGAGTGTAGGTGTGCGCGTGTGTGTACTTACATTGTATATTTCTGGCCGCATTGTAGCCCCCAAATTTAAGGGTATAAATTATAATCCAACATGGGTTTGTGCGTATTGCCCTCTGGAAGCGACTGAGCGACGAGCTGAAGTTACGGCGTATCACAAATCCAAGCGGAAATCAAAAGTGCTAATGCATGTGATGTAGGTGTGTAGGGAGCACACATTTATATAAGTATATACATATATATGAGCATATATAAATATATATAATATATCTGTGTGTATGCTTAATTACATTGCATGCGAATTGTGCCGCGTTAACATAAAAAATTACACAGCGAAAAAAATGCAACAAAAGCCGAAATCAAATTTGTTTTGTTTTGTTTTGTTTTTCTTTGCCTTAATTTTACAGCACTTTTGATGTTGTTGTTCTTGTTGTTGTTGCTGTTGCTGTTGCTGTTGTCGTTGTTGTATATTATTAAACAAAAATTGTTATCTTTTATATTTTGTATATTCAATATGTTATATATATAAATAATTTTATATACGTATTTATATTTATTTATGTGTGTATTGCACTTTGTTTGAATTTTTATTCGATTCGTATTTTGCACAATCAATCATGAAATTTTTTGTAAAATTAATTTCTTTTTGGCACTGGGGCAATTTTTTAGTGTAGTAGAACTGGTTGCGCTTTCTAATAATATAATAATATTTAATTTATTGTGTAAGTCGATTTTTAAAACAAAATCAGTTAATGGGCTTTTCTCAGGCACTTTTCACTTTCATTTTCATGCACAAATTTTAAATGAAACTACTTTCATTTTCTTTACGGCATTTCAAAATATTTCATGTGAATTTTGTTTTTATTTGTATTTTCAAATTTTTCTTACGTCCGGCTTTTATTTCGAATTCAATTTAACGCATTTGTTGTGTTTCGGTTTGGTTCTCTCTGCTCATTTGTTATTCTTGTGTTTTTTCTTTTTTCTGTTTTGTTAGCTTGTTATCCGCTGTGTTCGCGTCAGCGATCTTGAACCGACGAAAGGCACACACAAACTCAGATACAGCTACAACTGTGCGGCCGCTGTGGCTATCCGTTGGCAGAGCGCTGTTAACTAATCGCAGCTGTCTGTTAATGCTAACTCAAAATGGCAGCGCACATGTCGCACTGTTAACAGACTCTGTCAGAGGACTATCACTCAACCGCGCACATGTCGCAGCGGCTCGATGTTGTGACTGATAGCAGACGCTGTTAATGAGAGCCAGTTCGAGAATGGCTTGAGGCCAGTCGAAAAGCCAACGCAAAACTCAAAACACATGCCAATTTGTACTATTAACAATTAGTCAAGGAAACAGCTACGTTTTAACTAGTTTTTAGTTCAAAACAAGCCCATTCGTCTGTTGAGATCTTGAGAACCTCCACAGTTCATTGCAATTTGTCGAGGCAGATAACCGAAGCTCGTGCCAAGCTGCTCAGCAGCTGTCAACGGGTCTCACATCAGAGCAGCAGCATCCGAGCAGTCTGTCAATTTCTTATTATCGCGGAGGTAAAGTACTCACGGAAATGCCAAATTCATTGCTTTGGACTTTGAACGCCTATCTCAATTTCCAATTAAGTCTAAGCAGATATCGTATTCGTTCGACGTGTATGTCCGTCCGTGAACCTGATGCGTCGATAGACAGGCAAGCAAATCAGTTCAATTAAAAAACAAAAGCATCTGACATCAATGAAATATTTTCGATAATAGTTAGTTAGGTTCTGTCAATTCGGTAGCTACGCTTATCAAAAAGACTAGAATTTTTCTGTTTTCTTTTTTCAGTTCTCTATTTCCCTATTTAAGGTATTTTGTTTACACAAAACTGTGTCAAATGTCGCTGACTCATAATCGGGCATGATATCGGATGCGAATTCCGTGAATACATTTACCAAGCTGTTTGATTACAACGAATATTGCGCATATTTCCAACTCGACATTGATAAAAACAATTTGAATTTGATGTTAACAGTTCGTTGGGCGCCTTAACATTGCGCTGTTCACGTACAGCACTTCGAACATGTTGCGGCTCGCCTCTGTTGTTCCGTTCAAACCGCACGCAACAGCAAGCAGTGCTATGGCGCCATTTCAAATATATGATGTTAGGAGATGAATATTCATAATAATATAGGAAAACATTTTTAAAATAAAATATATTAAATTATGAATAAGCAGCGAAAGGCCCATAAGACTTTTGAAATATTCCATACAAGTTAATTAATTTTTAATTTTAATTAATTAATTATTATTTAAATAATAATCATTAATTATTTTCCATGTCCTCTTTTTGACCTTTCAACTGCGCAATTTATTTGACAAATATCAGTCGAGGGCACATTTTACTTCGGAGCCTACGCAAAAGTAACTCGAAGATAGATTAGAGGCCCGCTAATTGAGATTTATGCGTGGCGAACGCGTCCAAAATGCTTTCAAAAGGAGGTGACGAAATAATTAGCAACCAGAAATGACAATGATATATTAAATGTCAGTGCACTTAAGAACATACAACATTATTCAAAATAAAAATGATGAAGCGAAAAAAAATGATAAAAACTGTGATACTAAATGCTTGTCAAATTTTTAGCTGGCGCCCATAACTTATATTATTCTGATCTATTTGATAAAAATGTATGAAGCATGTACACCTGTATAAATCAATAAATTATGTACAATATATATCTCTTTTGTTTTTATATATTTTATTCATATTTACATAATCGGTTTCTATTCTTTTCAGGTCAATTTACTTCGCAATTACACGGTAAACTTTTGCATCCTGGTTTAACTTCGTATTGCGACACAACACGTCCATCTGTCCAAAAGCCAATTTCACTCTAACCTAAAAATATCCTTCAAATTAAAGGCAAGAAAAACCAATGCCAACCAAAATCCCGAAAATTCCAACCGCAAATTTTGACCAATCAAAACGTTGTCTCACGCCTCAAAGAATTCCAACAACTACCAGCTGAGTCGGGAAATTGCTATGTGTGTGTGCGAGTGTGTGCATGCGTGTGTGTGTCTCTTTGTCCTTTTTGGCAAGCGCAGCAGGACAGAACGAGCTGCTGGCGCCATGTCGCTTCCTCACCTAAGAAATTTAGATGTTTCGCAAGAGAAACAAAAACGTGTCAAATTTTAACTGCAATTGAATGTGAGAAATGTATGCGTGAAGAACAATGGAATGGACAACAACTTCAACAACAACAACGAGAATAAGAAAACAAGTTTAAACTATTTACGAGCTGTGATGCCACCTTGTTGGCAACTCAGGTGCGACAAGTTCATTTTCCCTTCTCTCTCATTATTTTTTTCCATGTACCACTCGGTGGGTCCTTAAGTGATTTATTAGCCACTATATAGGCATGCATGTGTGTGTTTGTGCTGTTGTCCTTTGACGCTGGCACGTCATATCTGATGCAAATGTGTCACACTCACGACAGTCAAAGCAGCCCGAAACCAAAAAGCTCTCCAAAGTCCTATAAAACTAAGCTAAAGCATAAAAGTGAAAAAAACCCTGAGAAATATTTTAATTAAAATTCAGTGCCCCAAAAAAATACAAACAAACACATAAAAAAATTACCAAAAACCTGCCATGCAACTAGGCTGCCAGCCAGGCAGGATAAGCCCCCAGTCTCAGACTCAGACTCAGTCACACTACGCGAGGTATCCGTGGCTGATCTTAACTGATAAACGCAAAACCAACAAAGCAAATGCGCAAGCCAGCGCGACTATTGAATACCTTAACAAACATTAAAACTACAAAACAATCCGACTACCGAAAACTATATCAAACTGAAATACAGTTATTCATAGCTCTCACATATATAAATTTGTTCCATGAATGAATTTATTCAATTGGAGATTCAATTTAAACTCAATTCAAGTTTCTTTTGAGCATACCACATAAAGTAGTATTAATGCAATCGACTGTTGCAAAGTGCATGCCCATTCGTAGAGGACTACCCGATAGAGTACGACGAAGCCAGGCTCTTAAGGCGAACCGCAACGGAGGTGGGCGTTGGCTAAAGAGGAATATCGAAAGACATTATGTGTGGAGCCGAGAGTTGTTCCGAGGAACTGCTGCTCGTTCGCAGCGGTGCTCCCAATGGAGCAATGGCATTTCAACGCGGATGGTGTCGCTGATCGAGTCCAGGCGAAGTCCCTTGGCCACATGATCAATCGATGGGCTCAGCCGCGGCCGAAAATTTACCGCTGCGGTGGCTATCGCACGCATCTTTCTCCATTCGGCCTTTCCTTGGCTTTGCTCTGTTCCCTTTGTCGTGAGCTGCAAATTCAATTAAACAAACAAAGCGTATTGAACACTTACATTTGGTTTGGTAACCCTTCGCCTGATCGGAGAGCGGACTCGTTCCCACTTGCAGAACGCCTTAATTGCTCAGCCGCCCCTATATAGAGGGAAAGTCGTCTGCTCGGCTTTTCCCCTCAACTTAATGAAAATGTTCATCCGTTCGAGCAGTTGACAGACGATAAGCCCGGCCAGTCCCTCATCGAAAACTCTCACTAATTTATGCTGCGATCATTTCCTTGATAGCGATCGCAATCGTTTGAATAATAATAAAAAAAAAATAAATACCTTCTGTTAACATAAATGTCCTAACGAGCATTGGGAGAGAATGTGAAGGGGGCAACAAGAGGGGTGCGAGTGTAAGTAAATAAATAAATAACAAACAAAAACTAAGAGGATCTCTTAAGGTTTTACAACTAGAAATGTCTTTAAAGTATTCTGAATTGTTTGTAAATTGCAATATAGATCAAGATTGTGTGCAGATATTATTCAAATTATTATGATACATTATTAAATCTTCAATGAATTTTGTATTTATCCTTATTATATTGTTAATTTATTTATTAGATGTTTTTCCGTATATTCCGAATAATTTAATTACGAAATTCGAATTTTATTTAAACAGAGTCCTAATTAAATTAACTCTAATCTTTTTTATATCTGATTGCTTAAATGTTATTTACATATTAGGTATACAAATTTTTTATTTTTTTTAATAATATGCAAATATTTTATTGTTGATTATATCTATATGAAAATATATATATTTTTTAAATTACTATATATATATACATATTTATTTATTTTATTTTTTTAAGTGTGTACATCAGAAATATTACTATACAACACAAGCAAATTATTAAAAGAAGAACCAAACCCCATAACCCTATGAGGATTACAAGTGGTGGAGGTCTTACTGATGTCCACTTTAGCAAAGCCTTGCAGCTTAAGTCTTCTTAATGGTCTGGCGGGCAGTAGTTCTCTTGCGATTAGGTTGCGATGTCTTAACAGTCGTTCACTGGACCTGCTCGTGTGCAGGCCAATCTGCTCTTCGACAGCTTTAGGTCTGTAGGTGAAGTACTCTATTCTGCAGTACTTGAATTCGTTTGAAGTTAGATTTGGCAGCAATCCCCAAGGCTACACTCCATAAACCATATAGCCATATATGAACTTATACCGCTCTTTAGTATCTCAGCGGCAATGTGGTCCTCTTATTATTTAGCGACTGCGGTGAGTCGCAGCAGTCCATGAATATGAAAATATTAATTTTAATATTTAGACCTCTTTGTCAGCATTTATGAATTTATTGGTTATTCTGTTGCATACTTTTAGAGTGTTTGATATATGAATAGAAAAACAATTAATAGAAAAATAATAGAGACAAAATAGCCTTGTTTGCTAAGCGAAACAGATCGATTATCTTTTAAAACTCATTGTAGATAACCGAAAATATCTAAAAATGGGCGGATTATACAATATAAGTTGGAGGTGTAAGACTTTAGTGAGGGTTATGCGAAACTAGGAGAGTAAGGTGGATCTAAATAAATATATTTTTAATTTTTTTTTAAATTTATTTCATAAAAAAAAAAACAATTATTACTCAACCGTATTTATATAAAGTTTAAATTATAACTTTTATTTTAAATATTTATTACAAAATTCCAAAGTAAACTTTCACCTAAAATTTATGATTTTTATATATAAAATTTATGTATCGTATTTTTCTTCATAGCGTTTTTTTCTCAATTTCTAAAATTAATTAATTAATTAGCTATTATTTGCGGTCTCTAGAATTACCAGTTCTCTATATTGTTAAATACGTTTATAAGTTTATTTACATATTTTATAACAATATATATATATAAAGGAAGGCCTGGTCAAATTTCGAATTCGAATGCGGAAATTACTTAACAATACAAATGAATTACTCCCTATTTAGTCACTTTTCAGCATTACAGGGTATATAAGATCTTTTAGAGAATAATTTGCAAATGCCTTGACTAAAGTCAACTTGGCTTGGACTTCTCCATTGAGTGCAGAGTGAAGCTGTTGGCCCTTGGAGTGCCGCTCCTCAATTAGCAGAGTATTTAAAACCACATTAACCCCGTCGGCCCTGGCCTTAACCCTTCGTTCAGAAACGCTAATTTGCAGCTCAAACAACAACAAGGCAGTAGCTGTAGCTATAGCTGTCTCTGTCTGTTGGAATTCGCACTCATTGATACTCCCTCTACATTCGATATTTAACACCAAAATGCTCATGACCGTCGCATGAATTGGCGTAAATGAAAAAAATAAAAATTGAATCTCTTAAAATATATTAAGATTTATTATTGGAATTGTTTATTTCAGTTTTAATTAGCAAAATTTTGACAAATTTAGCCAACGGTTTCTATTTCTAATTCTGTGTTTGTTTGTTTTCGTTTTTGCGTAAATGCCAACACGAATTTTACATATTGACACGCATAAATTTTGTGCTGTATTTTTGGATATTTTTTCCACTTTCGTTCTTCTTCTTTTCTGCGCTGTTAATTGTTAGTGCAAACACAAGATTTACGCGTGTTTCAGCTACAGACAAAAGCGAAGGTATTACCATTATAATCTTGTAAATAGTTTTGCATTTAGAATCGATTTGCAAATAGGTTCGATGAGCCCCCACAGAGGCTCGTTAGTCGTTAAAGCTAAGAAAATTGTAGTGAATAATGAATGGAGTCCTCGTCGGCTTTTTAGGAATTCCTATTCAAAAAATGTCTAATTTACTGAATTCTAAAATTTCATAAGCTGGATAATCTTTAATTGAAAAATATCTAATCACAGATTGTAAAATTTTTTAAGTTAATATATTTTGTCTTACGGTATTTTCAAATTCAATAATTACAATTTCTTACGTTGTGCATATTAAAAAATATATATATATATACTAGTTGTCCCGGCGAACTTCGTACCGCCTAACAGTCTCTATATATATAAAACAAAGTAGAGTTTGTTACAAAACTTATAATTCGAGAGCTGCTGCACCAATTTTCATGGTTTTTGATTTGTTGGATTTGTCTCTGCCCCGAATTGGAAACAGGCATTGTATTTTTGAGTGCTCGTTAGAAAAGTAGGGAACGCAATGGCTCTGGTGGCGGGACCACTAATGGCAATGTCACTTTACCACTAAGGCAATATTAGATCTTCTAGGACGCGGCATTTTTATTAATAGTAATACTGCCCTCGCACAAAACCATATAAAACAATCGAGAAATATAAATATAAATAATTTACACAAATTTATGTTTGAGACAAACAAATACCTGAACTTTCGAGATATTTAGCTTTTGTACGCACGCGCACAATTATTATTTATAAAGTTTAAAAGTCCAAAAATATAAAA